ACACCTTGGTTAGTTATTGGGGCAACAGAAGCGGTACCTTCATAGGTGGACATGGATTCACCAACTTCTCTTCCTATTAGTCAAGTCTCTAAAAGAGAGTCCAGAATCATGTAAACCATTGTCCCCTTAGTACAATATGCAGTGTTACTCAAAAGTCGCGTGCACCCCCGATAACATTTTCTCGAATGGACCACTAGACAAGGTACGAATTTAAGCAATCTGATCCATGATTCTTAACCAAAATTTCACGGAAAACATGATTTATACAACGAAAATTACTGAAACCAACTCCTAACGTAGATATTAACGTTTTTATTTCACATCGGTTACGAGGAATTTGAACTGCCCGCTCACAAGAAACTCAAAGCTCTAGGTGAGTCAAATCGCGCACTACAACGGTTTCAGCAAGCCTCTAAATCGAGCAATGTTCATTTCCCACCATGTGTTGTTCAAACTATTAGCAATTTGCTATAGCTGAGCCGAAGCGTCAAGATTGAGGTTGCCAGATTTTTATATCGCAGAGACTGTCTTGATAACGTTTAGCGCGCGATGTGAATCACGTAGAGCATTGAGTTTTCATGAGCGGGTGGTTTGAATTCGCGCATCAGGAATCATTAAATATCTTCGTAAGGAGTTAATTGCGGTACTTTTTGTTGTGCGCATCGTGTTCTACGTGAAATTTTAGTCACGAAACATGTATCAGAATGCTGAAATTCGTACCTTGTCTAGTGGTCCATTGAAATATCAAGTTGCAATTTGAAGGAGTGCCTTGGTGAAAGGAAAATATTTCTTGGCCCCCTACAGTTTTAAAGAGACTCTTCTGGTGTGCCATTTTTTTTCTAAGACAACCCTTGCCTTGAGATTCAGCGTTGAAAAATAGGAGAATCAGATAATTTTCGGAGATAAACTTTTAGGCTTCGTAAAATATGTTTGGTGGTTGATGAGATACTGTTTTTGGCCATTTTGAATTTCCGGCTAAATCATGGGTTTACCCAGGACGGCAGCCTCTCGTACCTCCCAGACTCTACGGTTGGCAGATAAGTTGCTTTTTCAGCACTTTTCCCAGTTCAAACCTATGTAAAATATTCACATTTATTGCACAATCTGGCAACCTCTCGAGTAAAATAGAAAACAGTGGAATTGACTAAAAGGTGGAATCCTTCCACTCTTATATTAATGATGATGATGATGATGATTATTATTATTATTATTATTATTATTATTATTATTATTATTATTATTAAAGGAAATGTGGACGCAACGTCAAAAGGCTCATAAGGCAGTCTTCCTTAGCATGACAGAATATCTTTTTGGTAACGTCGCTAGTCTTACTGGCAGTAGCCATACAGACTTCATGGTAAAATTTACCTGTCTGTGAGTTTCCCCGAAAATAGATTTTCTGACCAGTCTAGGTGCATGTTGGGCATCCGCTGAGCGTAAAGCAGTAGTCAAAACGAGTAGCTGCAAGTGAAGACAAAACAAAGCTCCACCATAAATTCACCAACAAAGTAAAGTTTGGCAACTAAAATCACTTTGGATATTGTAGTAAACACGGAAGATATTATATTACGATAGTGAAACTACCAGGTCAAGTATCTTGTTTGCAGTGTAGACAAATATTCGCTTCCATCTTCTTTTTCTGAAGGAGAACAAATCAATGTCGTTTCTTGATATTTTCACGGAGTTCTTTTCGCATAAAGAGGGAAAAACACGGACGCTTCCAAAAATCGATATTGATTAGTTATATCTATTTAAAAAATAAAGTATGACAGGAAACCTGCAACGGCGCAAACCGAGCTACTTAGCAGTGGCGTGGCGTGCGCGTGCTTTGCGATATATCAATTGATCGGCCATTTAAACCTATGGTGAAGTATCGATAAACAGGATGTTTGCAGCGAACACATTAATAATCGATTATTTACCACAGCTTCAAATGGGGAAATATCGATAGATCGCAAAGCGCGCCACGCCAATGATACATTGTCTCTGGGCGTTTCACCGTCGATTGACGATCAGAGTGTAACAAATCAACTCAGCAACTCTACAATGCTATTTTCACGCTCCGGCTTTTGATTTAATATCCACGTAACGTGAATTTCGCGTTCATATCAACGTTCAATCTTCGTGCGGATTCCGAAGACTCAAGATGCTGATCCAATGCATAATTTTCTTCTCACTACATCATGCAAAAATTAGTCGCATGTTGGAAAAAATCGCAGTTTCATATTCTGGTTGAAAACTGAGTACCTTCAGTCGTTTCTGCAAAGTTGAAATGCATTTCAATCTGATACGGACGTATTTACGCAAAAAGGAACTATTTGGAACTGCGGGTCGATTGTTGATTCGTTGTCGAATGACCTTGATCGATATAAAGCATTGTGCAGATGGGGAATTATCGATAAAATTTGTTCGATAACGATTCAACAATCGACCCGCTGGAAAAATGGGGTGTGCTTGCGGAGGCTGTATGAGAAACAATGTAAAATTGGATATAGTACCTTTTGAGAAAATGGAAAAACGGGATTTGACATTAAATCAAAAGGCACTGAGCGCCAACTCGTGAGCCGCGGGCATGTGACAAGAGCGTTGTAGACAGGGCTCATGAGTTGAAGAGTCCCACCTCCTCGTCGTCGTGCCTCCTCCTACGTTGCCGCTGACGTCACTGGCGCTTTTAACTTCCCATTCATTCTCATGGCGCTCAACTAATAAGCACACCTTATCTCTCCACTTGCATATAGTTCCATTTAGCATAAATATGTCCAATTTTCTTCTGATTACATGCAAAAATTAGTCGCATGTTGGAAAAAATCGCAGTCTCGTATTCCGGTTAAAATCTGAGTGCCTGCAGTCGTTTCTGCAACCTTGAAATGAATTTCAATCTGAAATGAAGCAGTAGCGTAGCGTGCTTTGCGATATATCGATTACTATGCCATTTAAACCTATGGAAAAGGATCGATAAACAGGGTGTTCGCAGCGAACACCTCAATAATCGATTCTTTAACATAGGTTTAAATGACGGAACAATCGATACATCGCAATTCACGCCACGCCACTGAAATGAAGGAGACTCCGAGAGAAATTGTGGCGACAAGGGGGTTTTACGTGAAATGAGGAAGTGAAAATCCCTGAGGGTCTTTTGGAGGATAGAGCACTCTGGTGACAAGGCGTTGCAGAGCTCCAGAGAGAGCGCAATGTGAAAGCGGTCTTCGTATACATTCGTTTGGCGCTTGACTTTATTCGATAAGACATCGGCTCTTGCTGACGAAACGTGGAAATACTTGATTCGAAACTACTTGTAATACTTAATTCGATACTACTTGTGATCCTTAATTAATACTTAATTAATGCCTAATACTTAATACATAACTGCAAAAAACGCGGCAAATAACTTTTGAATTGAATTTGGAGAGTTTCAACGCTTCCATTCTATTTTAAATGAAATTTCGATGAAGAAACATTAACTAACCGCTGTGGCGGGTAATTCAGCATTTTATAAGTTCTCGTACTCTTTTTTTACATCCGGAATGATAAATCAACTTCACTTTTTTCTCAGTGAATGTTTAAGTTGATTACAACTGCCAGAGTTTGATCAATGGTCGTAGAGTTGGACAAAGGATAGAAACAATTTCCCAACAACTAAAAGGAAGTACAGACACTAGACTGAAGGGAGGAACTTACCATCACAAGACTGAGTTTAAGCATGATGAGATTCTGGTGCGGTATAGTTGACATAAAACACTAATGATGAAAGCTGTACGAGAAAATTTGAATTTGTACCTTTAACCGCCTGTACTTATAGGTGAATTCCTCCGCTCTTGACTCAGCTGCTGCGTTTAGAAATGTGATATTGTGATCCATCTGTGTAAAAACGTCACGTACCATTTTTCAAAAGTTGAAGATTAATAGATTCAGAGACAGCTGAAATCTGTCAATCGGTGAATGATTTCCGGCTTTTGTTTGCTCACACTCACAGTTGGAAGACTCGCGAAGTTCTCGTTGATCTCTCATCAAATGCACGAGGAGGTTGGCACATGAATCACTTCAACTAAATTTTTTGATAAGGGTTGACTGCACTGAAAAAAAACACACAGCGTGAAGGAATGGTCAATTCTACCAATCTTCAAGTCCAGTCTGGCAGAGGATTGATTACCTGTTCCAGTATATAGTAACGTTTACCTTTCTTCTGGCAGAATGACCCTAAATTGACGCTGTGTGAAATACAGCGCGAAGGAATGGTAAATTCTACCAATCTTTTTTTTTTTTTTCAGTGTACTTCTCTCTCAATAATTTATCTGCTCAGGAAAAATCAAAGGAACTGAAGTCAGGGAAGAACAGAAAGATAGGAAAGAGAAGAGGGAATAAAACATAAAGAGGAAGAAGAAGTAGGGACTGATGAAGAGAATATAAGAAAAATAAGCATAAGGAGGGAAAGAAGAGGAGAGAGAAACGGAGAATAAAAATGGAGGAAGAGAGAGGAATAAACTCCTTCGTTAGCCTCTTCTTTCTCCTATCTTTTTTTTCTTCATCGTTAATTTCCATTCACCAATGTATGCTTCTCCTCTTTGTTCGTTTCATTTTTTCCCTTCTTTTCGTTTACTAATGGAGCAATTCTTCTTGTCCTACAAATTCCCCTATCCTTCAAATCCTACTTCTTCTCACGCAAAAAATATTTTACGCATTTTAACCGATCAAAAAGGCCTTATACTCGCTTCGTAACCACGTTAAATAACGTTAGCTCATATATTTGAGGGAGGGGGGACTTTTATCCCTTTTATCGCATCATTCGTGTGATGGAATTTACAAATAGCTCAAGGTCTGCAAACGGAATACTAACCGACAAGAAACCCCTGTCATTTTTTCCGAGAAAGATTCAATTCCCAATTGAAAACGAACGTATAATTGTTGTCAACATCCCTCTTTACAACGCCAAAGCGTTGGAGGGCGCTTTTTTAACACTGCAAGGGACGTTTTCATACACCTTTATACTTCTCTGTTCACAGATATTGTTGAGGAATTACTTTGGAATCAGGTTTCCTTGATCGGCCTTTTCTTCAAGGTAAGCATCCTAGTTTAGGAAAAATGGACGTATTTAAACCAAAAGGAGCTAAATCAATTATGACATGAGCCCTGTCATTAATGTATTCATATGGATCTCAAGGCTCATGTCAGAATGAAGATAGTCCCTTTTGATTTAAAGACATCCAAATATTTTTTATTGAAATCCTTACATAACTTAGTATGTAATTTTGCAATCATTGCAAAAGTTACCGTCATAAATCGAAGGAAAACTGCTCTGTATACTCTGCTGCTGTGCCTCGTAGCAACTGAGCGGAAATTTTGACCAAAAGCAGCGTCCGTTCTTTGTCAAATTGCTACCAGTATTCAATAAGACTCTCGGAAATCGTTTTAATGATCCGAGATCGACAAATTTTATATTCAGCCTTGTAACAAAGGCTCCATTTATTTTCATTTCAGGCAAGAAAGCCGCACGTTGAATCATAATATAGAAAAATGCAGTCACTTTTGGCGAAAACCCGCTCAAATTCCTCCTCTTTCAGTATAGAACTCCTGGATACAACTATTCGTGTTCGCTGGATGCCCGTGTTGCATACCGAATAATTGAAGGCGTTTTGGGTTCCGTCGTGCTCATTGCGATGATGACATAATGGAGATGTTGCATGTGTGAGGAATTTGCGATTTGACTACTGATTCTAATGTAAAAGTTGGCGAGAAACACGATGGTGCCACTGGTTTTCTCTGAAATTAACTCTCAGGCTCAAAAAAAGCTCTCAAGTTGAGGCCAAAATGAAGGGGATATACCACGCTATCCTGAGAGTCCACCTCTACATCAAGACAAACTCTCCATGGAAAGATAGGGGGCAAATACATTGACAGGGCTGACACTTTATTTGAGAACTCTAAAACTGAAAACACGGCAACCCTGATAATGTATTTGCTTCCTATCTTTGCATGCAGAATTTGTCTTGATGTAGACGTGGACTCACAGGATAGCGTGGGATATCCCCTCCATTACAGCCTCGTTTTCGTTGACGCTTCGCGCCATTGTCTTGATGTAGACGTGGACTCACAGGATAGCGTGGGATATCCCCTCCATTACAGCCTCGTTTTCGTTGACGCTTCGCGCCAATCACACGCTCGTTCTCAACTCGGAATATAGATGCAAACAAAAATTTAAAACAAATAGATGTGCGCAAAACTGTTGCATCAACTCGTAACATCAGTCATTCTATTGATCTTGTGCTCCGATCTCAATGCGACAAGACAATCCCGATATCGAAACCTAGCAGTTTTTAAAACGCCTTCAAATTCGGCGTGATACCTCACGCGTTTCGGAGAGTACGAATAGTTGTATCATTGCGCCTTACCAACGTGACAGATGATTAATCTTGATGTTGCTAGTGGCTTCCACGCTGTCCCTGTCGGTTTTCCTTTGACACTTTTGCAGTTGTGACCGTATAGTAAGGAATATATTTAGCGTAAGGAATTTGGGATTTGACTGTTGATTCTTATGTAAAAATTTGCGAGAAACACGATGGTGCCACTGGTTTTTCGGACACTGGTTTTCCACTGGAGAGTTCGTCTTGATGTAAAGATGGACTCTCAGGTTAGCGTGGGATATCCCCTCCATTACAGCCTCGAATTTGAGAATGTATTTTGAGCTTGGGAGTTGATTTCAGAGAAAACCAGTGGCATTTTCGTGTTTCTCGCGAACTTTAACAGGAGAATCAAGAGTCAAATCGCAAATTCCTCACACATGCAACATCTCCATTGCGCGCCTCTGCCACCATCTCTAAGCATTGCCTTGTAACCGAGAGGAGCATTAGGTGCAATAATAAAGAAACTACTTGAAAAAAAACTATATTTAAAAACTACTCACTGGAAAAAAAAACACATTGGATCTAGAGTTCAGACTCTCGAAAACATTGTCAAGAAAAAATACTCTTGATTCAATCAGAATTTTGCTTAAAACAAAAGGAAATCCGCTCAAATTAAGAGGCTTGGTTCTTGATTTAAGCTTAAATCTGATTGAATCAAGAGTATTTTTCTTGTTGATGTTTTTATGAGTCTGGACTCTATAGATCCAATGTGTTTTTTTTCCAGTGTATATTTAAAAACTACTAATAAAACAACTATGAATAACTATACTACTATGAAAAAACTATTTTTGAGTCTTACAATAACAAAGGTGAGGCTCATAGTGTCCTTTCTTTTAATTTTTCTTGTTTTGCCGGTTGAAACTGCGATTGTGATCCCTGCGAAACGTCCCGGGTTCCTTATTTTATTTCATGTGTTTCTTTTCATTATTTGCGGCCTTAGCCCCGTTTTAAGTTGTTTCTCTTTTAAAAACTACTTGGATTGCATTTTGCAAAAAGGAACCACTAGCATCGTAATAATGCTAAGACTGTGCAACTTCATCCTTTGCAATAAAATAGCGGAAATTGTGAAAAACTATGAAATTCAGATGGTAATTTTTGTCTTAAATTTACAGTTTTTAGCGAGTAAAATAGAAACTATTAAGGGATAATCGGGTTTTTCCTCCAAGACAGAAGAAGTTGCACAATCTTAGCAACATTGCAGTGCTAGTGGTTCCTTTTTGCAAAATGGACGTATTTCTACCAAACAGACCTATATGGGGGTGAGAAATATGGGATGTACTCGTTAGTTCTTTGGCCGTAAGAGTGAATGAGAATAATAAAGCGCCAGTGACGTCAGCGGCGACGATGGAGACTCTGAGCAGCGGATCCGTGTCTTTAACTCATGAGCCCTATCCACAACGCTCTCTTGCCATGCCCGCGGCTCATGAGTTCCGCATTCAGTTGGCACATAGGTCTGTTTGATAGAATGTAAAATCCCGCTTTTCCAATTCTTCAAAAGGAATCACGCCCACTTTTACATTGCTCCTTATGCAGCTTCGACAAGCACACCCCATATTTCTCAGCTCCACATAGGTCTGTTTGGTAGAAATACGTCCAAATGCAATCCACTTAATCGTCTGGAGCTCATTTTTCCCGTGGCTCTTTGTTGCAGTCGCTATGGTACGAGTTCGGGTTCATCTACTGCTCGGCGCTGGCGGGGATGCTGGCGCTGGCCGTGCCGTGCGTCGTTTTCGTGCACCTCTGCTACCGGATGTCCGACGAGAAGCCGCCATCCTCCCAGCATCCGCCCCCACCCCCGGATATGCTCCCCACCCGCGCCCACCGCTGCCAGCGGGCCACCCTCGCCCTCACTCTCCAGATCCTCCTCGCCGTCTTCCTGTAAGTCTACAAGTCTACCTATTCGCCTCCACTCGTTACCACGCTGCATTTCCTGTCACGAACGCCGAGATGACTCTCGAGCTATGCGTTTCGGGGTTGCCAAAAGCGCCAATGCTCCACAAGGGGGTCTGAAGGGTCCACAGGGGGGGGGGGGTCTAAAGGGTCTACAGGGGGGTCTGAAGGGTCCACAGGGGGTCTGAAGAGTCCACAGGGGAGTCTGAAGGGTCCACAGGGGGATCTGAAGGGCCACAGGCGCACTGAAAGAAATGGTATGCTGCTTTAGCACCTAGGACGTCAAAAATGTGCCTGGTGATCCTGAGATGCTGCCTGGATGGTCCACGCAATTGAATTTGCATTCATAGGATGTAAAGACAACTGCGGGGGCAGTAAAGGCAGCATCTCGGGATCACCAGACACATTTTTGACATCCTAGATGCTATAACAGCGTATTATTTTTTTCAGTGCGGATCTGAAGGACCACAGGGGGATCTGAAGGGTGCACAGGTAAGTCAGATGGGTCCGCAAGGGAGGTCTTAGGGGCCATAGGGAGGAATCGAGAGGTCTAAGGGGAGGTGGCTTTCGACGGTGCAAATCGGCAATCACATAACTCGGTTTGCGACGTCGCAGTCTTCCTGTCATACTTTATTTTTTAAACGGAAAACTACTCAACGGCAATTCATCAAAACTGCCGTGATTTTCCTTCTCTGTGCGAAGAAAAGTCTACATAAACTTCAAGGAATGATGTCAATTTGCTCTCCTTTAAAAAAATAACATAGAGGCGGAGATTGTCAGCCACCGCAAGTGAGATACATGAGTGATTGCGGACTTACGCCGTCGATTTTGTAAAAAGGAGCCAAAAGCATTGCAATGTTGATAAGAATGTGCAACTTCTTTTATCTTGGATGAAAAGCCTGATCATCTGTAAACTGTTCCTATTTTGCACCCCAAAAACTGTAAATATAAGACTGCAATTTTGCCGTCCTAGGGAAAAATGCTGTATGAACATGCGAGACTCGCCAAATTTCCTCCGATTAAATGTTTATTTTGGAAGAACGCTGTGGATATTTGGACGTATTTCTATCAAACAGAACTATGCGCTATCAGACATGAGCCCTGAGACCCATAAGAATATGTGCATTACAGGGCACAGCACACGTCATAATGTGCACATATTTCCGTTTGATAGAAATACGTCCATTTTTCCTTGAAATTTTCAGGAAATTTAGGTGAAATTGCTAACAATATTACCTGAAAAATTGGAGTAAAAACGTTTGCTTTTCCCGAAAATTCGTGCTTTATTAAAGGAAATTTCCGACGAGGCTCATACGGCGTTTTTCATTAGCACGGCAGAATTACCATTTAAATTTCATATTTTTGCATAATTTCAGTGGTTTTATTGCAAAGGATGAAATTGAGCAATCTTAGCAGCATTATATTGTAATGCTCTCGGTTCCTTTCTGAAAAATGCAATCCAAGAATAGCTCGTCCTGGAAGCTCAAACTGGAGGTTCAGTCTAGGGGCTCTGGGGGCATCGAGGTGAGTGTTGACTGTCGAACTTCAAAGGTTCGCAGGCTGATGACCTTTGAACCAAAACTCCGAGAACAACAATCACCAAAAGATATGGCTTTCCCTCATTTTTTGGTCATAAATGTGCAATTTGTGCTGTTTTTCACTGTTTTTGTAAATGTTCAATAGTCAACACCTGCATCGATGCCCCCAGACTGAACCTTCAGTTTGAGCGTCTGGAACCGGCTGATGGACCTCTTGCGTGCGGCGGGGCTTTGCGATTTAAGTACTTTTTTTTATAAGTAAAATTTTGCGTCATCGCGAAATTTTCGTTTAAATGGAGGAAATCCGGTGTTGCCAAATTGCTGGATCCGCCTCTGTTATCGAGATGCTCATTTTAAGGAATTGTCTTGGCTGGAATATAAGATAAGGGTAATGATGGGTGAATTCATTTAAAGAGAAAACTTCTTAGCGAAATATTTCTAACAATCTCGCGGGGTTTCAATAAGTAAAGGAAAGAATAATTGAATAGTTAACAGTAGGCTCGTCTAGACCGAGTCAAAGAGAGAGCTTGAATTGAAACAATTTGGTGGCGAATGAGAAAACTTTCAAATGTTCACCACTCTCTCGCTTGAGTTATCATAAAAAAACTTTGCTATTCATCAATTTCCTCTTTGGCTCGGCAAAAACTTCAGATTCCGGAGATACTAGGTAGTAACCACTTGTTACTTCAAACTTTGGGGTCCGAACTTTTAATTGAGACTGTTTATCTCGCATCTTGCGTGCTAGCTTCCTCGAGCGAGTCTTGCCAATTCGAGAATGAGATGAGGAATAAGCAAAATAAGGGAGCTTATTTTCAATTACTTCAACCGTTCAAATGAGCTTGCTTTTGGCAGTACTGAGAGAATTATCGTTGAAATTTTAAATCAAGATTGAGAAAATTACAGTAAAGTGGATTGAATTTAATGAAAATCAGCTGAACTATATTTCATGTTGCCTAATTTTCTCTCATATTTCATTTTTTAACAGAAAAGTAAACGGCATAGCTCCTTGAAATATCCCGTGAATTTCCTCTAGATTATGAAAAATATTCTCCCAAAATTTTAAGTCAGAATGTTCTTCGATTGTCTGTTAAAATACAAGGAAATTTGAGAGAAATTGGACAACGTCTGATATAGTTAGGCTTATTTTCGTTCAATCCGTCCAATTTTAAAAAAAAAATGTTGGTTAATGAATCGAAAGACTGGTCTCCCGGTGAGACTGACAATCGAATTTATCTACTATCTTGATAAGCAATAAGAGGCAGAATAATCGCCTTCAATCTCGAGCGATACCAAATCACGACACTCATGGTCAAATAGTTGTATCACAAAATACGGGTCGAAGTTGAAGGGGCAAGGCTTCCTTGATTCGCAACGTTCACGGAGCAAAGGTTGTCAAGATTAAAAATGTCTCTCGCCCTGTCGTTAATTTATCAATGGCTTAGTTGCGAAACCACGTATCTCCGTTTGCAACGTTGTAGATTTCTCTTCGAACTTTATTTTTTCTTGAGAAAACTAATCAACGGCATTTTTTGAAAATTTCCCTGATTTTTTCTCTCTGCTATAAATTGAAGTTCACAGAGTTGGGTTGCTTCTCTCCGAAAAAACAAAGCAGGATCGGAAATTTCGAGTTTTTTGCAACATTTGCAATAGAGATATGTGGTTTTGCACTTCAACCATCAATATACGAACTATGGTTTTACCGATCAAGGTCATTCAATAAAGGAGCAACAAAGTTTCAATGCTGAATTAGCTGTTCGTTGACCGAACGAATTTCACTGCCAAGGAGACGTATGGCTTGAAGCTATTGGAAGCGTATTGTTGAAAACTTCTCTAAGAACCTCGTCATCCGAACACGTGGATAAATTGCCGAGATGAACTTACGACTTGAACAAGAACGCTTGTAGGGCTGTGTTGCAGTTTCGTTAAAATACTAAATCAATCTTATTTGACAGATATTCTATGCGAGATACACGACTGGCTTCCTTAGTCATGGCTGTATCCCAAAAACCTTGAAACTCTTTCTATCACTGGTACTTCATGTTTCGGACGTACGATAAATTCACAATGTTGATCCGTCGTAAAGAAGCGAGAAAAGAGAAAATTCCAAGATCCAGCATGGAGCGTATCAATACAAGAAAGAATTATTCACAAAACTCAGTGACAGAGGGCAAGATATTTGTTGCAGCTCATTTGATTAGCCTTATTTCTCCTTTGCTCATTTCTTATCACAACTTAATTTCATGGCAAGGGTTGCTTGAATCTGACCATTGCTCCTAGGTATGTTTGAAATTTCCTCATCCAGGTTTTAATTTTTTGAATCCATATTCCGAATGAAAAATTTCCAGTTTCCTTTTTCACTAAATTCAATGATGTTTTTCCGCTTTCCCAACATTCTTAAAAAAATAATGTAAAAATGTTCCTCAAATTCCCCGCCAATTCCTTTTTTTTTTCAGTGAAATTTCGAAAGGAGGGAGGGATTCTAGTTTTTTCGTGCACTTACAATTATTTCACAGTTCTCGCTAATTATTTCTTGAGAAAATTGTTTCCCACAGTTCCATTAGTTCATCTCACCTTTTGACACAGTGATACCGTTAGATGAAGATACCTAGACTCATGGCACTATTTCTCTTAAGTTTGGTAAATGCTAGTAGAAGTATGATTAGTTCTCCAATACGTATGATAATTGCCACCATAACTGGACGTATTTCCGTCAAACGGAACTATATGCATTAGGACGTGAGCCCTGTTATGCATGTATTCTTATGGATCTCAGGGCTCATGTCTTAATGCACATAGTTCCGTTCGTCGGAAAGACGTCCAGCTGAAGAGCCACCCGAGAAAAGAAAAGAGAACATGCCCGTCTAGTGTTGCTAAGATCTAGTGCCCTTTGGCCGTTCTTCTACTGAAATAAAAACCTATTAATTTCGGGAAAATTACTTCATAAAATTAGAATATTTCAGAAGGCAAACATTTACAAATTTTAAGTTTTTGATTGACGATAGAACGCATTACAAAGCTTACGTTCTTATCAGCGTCAAATGCATGTGTGCAATTTTTGAGTATGATCTACCATATAATATGTTGTTCATTGCCAAACTTGTATTACCTAGTCATTTTTCTCTCTCTCTTTTTTCAACACATTATTTATGAAAATTTGCTACCATTACCCTAATACAATGGGTATCTATTCGCGCAATACTAAACAATTTACAATAATGTGAAAATTGAGGAGCGTATGATTGGCCTCCTAAACTGAAACCCATCGTGTTATCGCCCCCTGTCATAGGGTGGTAACATTTATTTAAATGATAAATCAATATTACATATTACATTTCATTTGAAATGAGCATAGAGTTTTAAACAGGGAATAAGGTGTATGTAGACATATGGACCGCATTTAGCAAAAAGAACCAGCGAAATTGAAGTGTTTTCAAAATCGTGCAACTTCTT